TGGAAGCAAGAGCTATAGCTAGTAAATATAAACTTATAAATTATAAGTAATATAATATGTGAAAAATACTATTAAAAGCTATTTAAAAAAAGTAAAAATATTTAAATAGTTATATATTTTTTAGTTAAATCTTAATAATTTAATGCCACTTAGGTAAAAAAAAACAAAGTTATACTTATATAGTATTATAAATTTAAAGTATTAATGCCTGCTAAGGGGCTATTAGCGCTATTATTATTACTAGTAAACTACTATTTAGGCTATTAATACCATAAGGTAAAATGGCTAGGTAATAAGCAGGCTGTTAATAAGGCTAAGTAGGTTACTAAGCTAGTAAAAAAGTATAAAGCGTAAAAATACATGGTAGGCATAGTATTAAATCTTATTAGTAATAATAAAAATATTAATACTAATAATATTACTATATTAAATAATTATAAGTAAGCTATAAAGTTAAAGTATATAAACTAATAGCTAGTAATAATAAAGTATTAAATTAATAATATTACTAGTATAAAGACTTATAAGGTTATTTACTACTTAAAAGGTATAAAAATTCTTAATAATAAATAGGTATTTATACTTAAAATAAATAAATATAATAAAGTTAAACACTTTAAGGCGCGCTAGGTTATATATAATAATTAATAATAACTAGGTATTAACTTTATAAATAATACTGCTTTAGTTCCTTTAAATATTACTATATAAATATTTTAAATAATAATAGTTATACTTAATAAATATATTAAATAAGTAAATATTATTACTGCTTATCTTCACGCGGTGTTAAAAAATTAAAAAATTTATATATACTAACCTTAAGACCTTGCTAAGGGTAAATTAAGTAATATTTAGCTATTACTTATAGTATTTTATAATTTATGTTAATTAAGCCATTTTTAGTTTAAAAAACTTAAAAAAAAGCTTATTTAAATAAGATTTAAACTATTATTAGTTAAACCCTGTATTTATTATAGGGGATTAGTGTTTATAATAGTTTATATTAATAATTTAATTATTATTAATAATACTAACGTACTTATTAATAAAATCCAGGAGGAACTTAATAAGTTTTTTAATATTAAAATAATTAATAAGCTAGCTAAGTTCCTAGGCTGCGCTGTTACCTGTAATTATAAAAATAAAATAATTTTAATAAGTTAGGAATTATATATTATAAATTTTTTAAAAAAGTTAGGTTTATAAAACTATAATAGCTTTATAATTTTTATAAATTTAATATACTAATTATATTACCGCAAGATTGCTTTAAAAAATATAAAAATTAAGTAAGTAAATATAAAAAATATATTAAAAGCGCCCTTTAAAAAGTATATAATTTTTTATAGCTTATTAAATTAATTAATTACTAAAACTTAACTAAATATAGCTTATGCAGTATTTTATTTATAGTATTATATAAATTTACTATTAAATTATAATTTAAAGGCTATAAAGGGACTCCTTAAATACTTTTAATATATAAAGTTTAACCTTGTTTTAGGCCTTTAACCTAATAAAAAAAAGAAGATTTATATTAACACTTTGCATTAAAATTATAAAAATAAAAAGTTATTTAAGGGCTTTATTATTTACTATATAGGCTTACTAGTTTACTAAAATATAAAAAAGTAAATTATTATTATTTTATTATTTACTATTATAAAATTTATAATATTTAATAAAGTTATTAAAAAAGTACTTTATATTTAAAAGCTTGCCATAGCGCTGGGCATTTAAAAAAAAACCTTTAAATTAATAGTTATTAATATAAATAGCGCTAATAGTATATACATTATTTAAAAAATTAGGTTTAATAATATAATTAAGTAAATTAATAATTAATACTTTTTTATTAAAAACCTTTATAAACAAGGTATTATTATATTTAGCTATATTAATAATAAAAAAAATCTTACTAATAATTTTACTAAGCTACTTAATATAATTAACTTTAATAAATTTTAAAAGGCCCTTAGGCTAGTTAATAAAAATAGCAAGTATTAAAAAATTTAGTATTTTATTTTTTATATATATTAATTTTAAAGTATAGCACGTAATATAACATAAAAATACTTTATATTTAAATTATTATATAAAGCTTATTTTTTTTTTATTTAGGAAATCTTATTAGTTTTATGGCCTTTTACCTAAGGGGCCGTGTTAAAGGTAGCTAGCCAGGAGTTAAAAAATAAGTTATCCGGGTTAGGTAACCCCGCGCCGCCGCCTACTATCTAGTGGCCGCGTTGTTTTTAGTTCCTTAGTACTCTCTTAATACTATCAGAGTTCTTCGCTCATCAGTAGATAGTTACCTGAATCCACTGGACGATATCGCTGAGGCTTATATCTTTAATGCTGAGCACACAGCATAAGTTTCGAACCAGGGAGTTTGTAGGTAGGATATGGGAGAGCTGTGTGTCATTGCTCTGAGCTCTTATGAGACACAAGGGTCACTCGCGCCTAGCTCTTTGGGAGAGAGAGAACCTTTCTGCGTTAAGATATCCGTATTAAAAATACGTATGTTGCTCCCGAGCGTTGTTGCCAACTGCTGATTTATACATTAGTATAATAGCCTTCGCGGTCAACTGAACATTTAGGGGTCCCGGAGATAAGGGTTTTTTTGGGGGAGGGAGGGGGGTGTTGTGCGGTTCAAGAGCCCGTGGATTCTGGATCCCGGATCCCGTAGCAGCGAGCATTTACGGTCAAGCACCCATCCGTCCCCATGTTTCAACCCCTTGTTCCACTGGATTTAGACGTGATTGTGGCAGCAGGGCCACGCGCATACCAAGTAAAGCTGAGCCGTGACAGGGGCGCCTGGCGATGTAATAAAGAGTTATTATAAGAGATTACTAGAATGAAGAGGGGGTTGCGAGAGAAGAATATTGCATTTATGGAAAGTAGGCTGCCTAGTTATTAGCTAGATAGGCGACCAGAAAGCATGGATAGCAGGACATTGATTTGCCAGCTCGTGACGCTCAGGAGCTCCTTCAGACGCTGAGCCAACAACCTTTCTGCCATGTGTTGAAGTACTGCCCTGCGAGGGCTGAATGAAGAGGCAGGTTCGAACTGCGTAGCCTAAGCCCCAACATATTATCAGGTTTTTAACTGGGCTTCGCAGGTGCATAAAACAGATCCGGAGGCCTTGTGCTGCACCCGCCTTTCTTTTCCCCATTCGAATTCCCCATCAGCCAGAGGTAACTCGACACCTTCGTCATCGGTTGCCGGGTAGAACGCGTGATAATAAGCGACGAGAAGCTGAAGATCATAAGCATCACCGGTCATCATTGTACGGACCTAAGGGACACGACGAATTAACTATGAAACGTGCCTATTGTGGAAATTGAAGCTATTCAGAGATCGGGTCGATCTCAGCATGTCATTCTTTTATTGCACATCTGCCATGAAAGTCTGGTGGAATGTAAATTGTCCGTGGGAACTAGACTCTTCCTCCCCATGATGTTAAGGGTAGGAAGACGCATTCACTGATGTGGGCTCACTGTCCAGAGTGGGGTGCTCCCCAGGATTCTCAGGGAAGGGAGACACGTTCGTTAAGGTGGGCTCGTCGTCAGAAGCCATATGTGCACTTTCTGCTAGAGCTGAGCCCTAGTAGTCTGGTTGATGTCTCTGACACAGGGCTCCCTGGGCTTCCAGGGGGGTCGAGGTTGGTCTAGGTCCCCAACGCAATGCTCTGTGGGATAGAAGCAAAAAAAAAACAGACGGAAAATATCCACATGGCCATTTCTAGCAGCGTACACCAACGGTGTGAAGAAGTGTGTTCCCTCGTCAGGGCGCTGTATCCTTGAGTAAGGGTTGATATCCCAGCCCCGTGGTGCATGTTCTGCGGATTCCACCTTCTTCTTTCTTGCCTTTCGAATCCGCAGCCACCTCTTGTTTTGGTGCTGTCTCCATATCTACACCTACGCCCGATCCAAGGAACCCGACACCCCCAGCACCTGTAGCAGGGCTCGCAGTTCATTGCAGCCGATAAAGGATGTGACATATTCTAAAGCCCTTTGATCTTCTCCTCTGCCTTGCGAGTGATTACAAGCCAAGCACGGTTTTCTTCCAGCATCATGGGAGCCGTGGACTGATGGTATGGCTGGGCGTTTTCACAATCCCAAATCTGGAATTCAGTGACTGCCTGCTCTTCAGGAGAAGCAAAGCCAACCGCCAATTTGCCGAGCCGATATATGAGATCCAGTTTCTGGATGGAAATGCCTCGGCGAGACAAAAGTGTTGCTCAAACACCTCTCTTGAAAGCATCCGAACCAGAAACCGCTTTGTAGTTTCCATCGCAGTTGCCCTTGCATGGGCGAGGTGACCACGAAGCTGTGGGCGCACATGTGCATCGAGTGTTCACACCCGAATGATCCCAGGTCCAGAGAAGATGAGCAACCTGGAAAAAAGATGCTGCGGAGCTGCGGGTTGGCAAAGGGGAAGCAGATGCGCAACCACTCACGGAAGCAGGGGTTCTCTATGCCGATTGTCATTGTGAAGAGTTGTTGGAGGAAAGAAGAGGAGGGACAAAGACCGGTAGTTATCTATGGACTTTCGCGGACCCGGTTTTGGTAATGAGGAGAGAGGAAAGACGTAAAGTTTGTCAGAAGCGCCTGCATTCGCACCTGGAATTCAGTGAGTTCTCTGCTGTGTCCGCATATAGGAGAATATCCTCACTATCGACAGTGGTATCTTCCAACGCAAGCTCACGTTGGTGTTTCCCTAGGCCCAGAATTCTCCTTCAAGCTTTGCGGTTATCTCTAAACCCCAAGTTTCTCGGGGCGAAGGCGCCCTCTCTTCAGGCCTGGTGTTGGTAAAGAGGCCCAACGAGTGCGGTGAGGTTCTTCTGTCATGCCTCTACTCCGATTTCATTCCACAGGGACAGGCGAAGCGAGGAGGGCACCTGGTCAGCCAAAACCGTAAAGTTCTGCTTTCAACATCTTCGTCAGGCTGGGCGCGCTCGGCTTCTTCTCTCTCGCGGCGTTCTCGGCGGGCGGCTATTACTTTCTTGGTTCCCTTAAAGGGATCGAGGTTAGAGAAGAGCGGGGCCATGGCCGTGGTCGTCGGCGTGCTGGTTCTTGCGGATAGACGACGACGGTTTGGCCCGTTCCCCTCGCGGGCGCGATGGTATGCGGGCAGCGGCAGGCAGAGGCGGCGCTGTTGACAGTAAGAAATGCAAAATATGCTAGTAGAAGTCAACTCTGTCCGGTGGGCACGGGCTATGGTAGGACTTACTCACCTGAGCTTTTCGACTGGTAACATGCGTTGCATGTCAGCAGCCGCGCAGTATCGGGAGATGAATGCCATTGCTGGCTGCTGTTAAAAGTATAGTAATAACTGTATCTTCCGTGGTGAATCTCGTTTTTAATATCCGATTCTTTGAAGTGTACAGCAATGTCCACCCAAAGGCAGCCATCCTCCCGGGCTTGGTTGCAAAGATCGCAGATAAATTAGCGGATCAAGATCAACCATTGCCTTTTCTGACCTTTCTTGCCTAGTTTGGCCTGGCAGTTTCCACAATTCGGTGGTTTCCGGTTCCGTTGTCAAGGATTTCAATTATCCTTGTGGCAAGTCTGACATAGCCCAGATGTCTCTATCCATGTGTGTGGATTAAGCGTGCGACAAAACACGTTCTCTGTTGAATGTTGATTTTAAGGGCCTTCAATGCCAGAATAGCAGTTACGACACTTGTGCCCTCCTGGGTGCAATTCCCACTGCCATGCAATGGTTGATGACGTTTGGCACTCAATGGGCAGCAAAACAAAGCCGTTAGGTAAGACAGACATGACAGGTGCGTCACGTCGGAATGTATGTCAGCTTGATGGTTAAGCGTCGATCGTCATAATTTCTTCCTTCTAGAACACGGCGTCGGTGTTGTAACTAACGTTGAGCAGGTCCTTAAGGTTAGGGTTACCCCCGAGCTTCCCATCCTTCGCCTTGACCCACCCAAAGTGCGTATTCCGGCCCGCCACGAGGAATGGTGGCTTTGTCAAAGCGTTCACCTTGTAAAGCTTCCAGAAGTCTCCGGTGGTCCTGAGGGAGGAGATGGGTTAGGTAGTCTTTGATTGAAAGGATGCTGGAAAGCGAGAAGGGGAAGGGGCTCACAGGACCCAACCTCATTGATAATAGCCATCGCCGTTCCTTCATACGAGGAAGGACGTCGATCGTGTTATTTTCTAGCTGGGTCGTGGCGTACGATTGGCGTAGTGGCTCTAGAAGCATGACCTGAGCACAACCCTTGCATAGGGGGATCTAGTTGCCAAGTTAGATATTTATGAATATCATCTTAGACATCGAGCAGACCATCGAGGATAAGATTTAGCTTAGGAACATAACCACTGATCCATGGATGCAATGGCACAACCTCGCCGTCCAGCGGGTCCCCCATGATGGCTTTGGCGACTGCAGTCTCTCGAGGGGTGAAGTTTTTCAGGAGGTTTTTTCTTTTCGGATGAACTCGCCGTGATCAGTCCACTCGGTGGCCCCCGTGTCATCAGCCAGGAGCCTAGGGAAGCCACCGTAGGGCCGCCAACCAATATACCCCTACCATGCTGTTGCAGGTTCTCGATGACTTTGCTCCACGAACAAGAAGCCCAACACCCCCATTACCACACCACATCACGGACCCAGGACAGGTTCAGAGGTTCCGCTGCCGGGCCTTTTGTCTATCTTTATAAAGCGTGGGCGGCCGCGAGCTGAGACCATTTACCTCCTTCTGCCATCTCTAGTGTTCCGTGATCATCACATGCAGAGACCGCAACGTACCATGGGAGGATGGGCGATTCGAACCATTAGCCTAGTGCAGGGTACCAGCTGGCCCAGAAGCCTACCAAGGTTCCTGCGTGAACGCGAGCCCAGGTACAGAGAGTGCTGCAGTCAGGCCCGAGTCTGAGCACTCGAGTGGTCCCATCCCATATCTGGAGAGGGCATTAAACTCCTTGTTAGGATAGTTGGAGAAGTGGCACAAAGCCATACTCCGTGAACAGGTTCTCATTGGAAAGACGACAATAAGGTATTTCAAGGGTGCTTGGAGGAGAGAAAGAAGTTTGGTGGAGGGGAGAAGTGCCTAAGCTTACTTGCTTGTATTATGGTTGCTGGAGGCCTATAATGTGCTTATAACGTGGCATTGACACCTCTGGAACCTTGCTTGCCAGCCATGTTGATGTGAATGCCACGCTTGCGCGCCTGCTCGCTAGGGGACTGTGTAGTCGTGCGCCCTGCACCTAGCCCTGGGTATTCAGGAGACTACAGGCCCGAAGGCTGAGAGAACACTCTTTAGCGGAGTCAGCAATCAATATTCTCATGAATGCAAAGTGTAGAATACTACTGCAAAGTCGTACAGGAACGAGTGCAGTACTTGGCGCGGACGCGGACGATGCGAGTTGCCCATCCATGTTGATCTCCGGCTGTCCAGGTACTCGGATGACAATGTCTGCGTCTTCAGATTTGATGTCAGTGACATACGCCTTGATGAGCATTTTCTCAATGGCTTCCTCATTGCCATATTCCTTGAGGCCGTCGTCAGTCGGCTGGCTTTACCTTTCCTGCAAAAAAGACAGTGGGTTAAATCGGAATGCACAAAACGTCCAGGGAATGGGATACCTGTTTGACACGCTCGTTGGATAGACCGGTACCCGTGCGACCCTGGTAGTCAATTATATCCAAGGACCACTTCCGATCCACGTTATAAGCGGTGTAAAGGTCTGCTTGATCCGGAAGCCACATGCACGCCAGGGGTCCAGCAACACCCAATCGCGCCTGGGGATGTCCTTGTGGTCGCGGGCCGGTGACATTGGTCATCATGCACTCGCGTAGGATGGTGAGCCATCTCATAGACAAGGCAAAGGCATATGGCTGGAGATGTGAAAAGATCATGACCTCCTTGCCCACCCATTTCATAGCACGTAGTCGCTCAAAGGCTTCCTTTCCCTTCTCCTCTAGGCAACCTGTCCTGATCAGACTCGTTTTCAGGTATGACTCGGTATTTGGACACGCCGGTCCAGCCAGGCGTAATCGGTTCTTCATGCGGAACGATGATCATCAACTCCTTTGCCTCAAACGGTTCCCCAAGGGCAGTCTCATGGTGTGCAGCGATCCTGGAAAACCAGACAGTCAGCGTACTGACAACAAACTGGATTCCCCGGGGCAAAGAGGGCGCACATGAGAGAGTTGCACAACGGCTACCATAAAAGGGGTGTTCAATCATTGACGTCCCCGCTCTGCATGTCAAGGCCCTACAGCCTGGGAGGTGGTGGAGGCCGGGGGGGCCAGTCGACCGTCGCCACGGCAGCGTTGTAGTCTTGAGGTCGACGCGTGTCCCCTTCTCGAGAAGACGGCATTGATTGCCCTGGGGTGTATGCGAGCGTCAAATCCAATTTGCTTCAGGCACTCGAAGACCGCAATCTTCGGTGTTTTCCTCATCTATCTCATTGTCTTCCTCTGGTTCTCGGGCGAAGCCCAATCGGTCGAGGAAAAGCGGTGCTTCGTGCAGCATCATTGGTAGCTTTTCGAGTCACCCACGCGGGTCCTCGGTCTGCCCTATGTCACGTTAGCAACGGAAGGTTGGTATACCCAGAGGCAGAAAAAGATAGCGCAGGTACTCACGGATTCGGGCGCAACGGCCCAGCGAGGTTGTCTACCAAGGCTTTATGCTAAAGCCAACCCGGACGCAGTTGATAGCGTTAGGATTGGAAAGGAAGGGCACATGCACGTGGCCAGTTGGAAGCAATGCCAGCATCGAAGTACTACTCTTGTTGTGAGCTCGGTTTGTGGGACTATACTAGGGCTTACTTGAGACGCAATCAGAGAGCGAAAGACCTGTAGGGCAGATAGGGTAGGTCTACGACATCATCGAGGAACTACATCAGATAGCTGGACTACATAAGGCATATCATATGCCATTAGGGCTATGACGTTCATAAACCTATGAAGACTGACTTAGCCAGGACCAGAACGGAGGCCCCGGTCCAAAGCCGGAGAGAAGAGATGCGTACGAAAGATCGAGCAGAGAGTCCAGCGCGGGAATCGACGAGATATTTATACCCCGTGGGCTTGGGGCAGGGGTGAAGAGCCCAGCCCTCACGCGGCACCTTCTCAGTTACAGGACACCACGTTCACGGCTGTATTCATCCAATTGGTGAACTTTGCTCGTCGAGTCACCATCTCAAGGCAATGTGACTATCGCTTGACTGTTTATTGTGACTGGCAACGAGGCCAGTGTTTTTGGGCAGGGTAATCACCGGAAGGTTGTCCATGCTGCCTCAACGTCCTGGCACTTGCAGCCTCCAGTATCATCAAGACGCCACTCGATGCCCAGGCAAGGCTTCTCTCTCCGTCCGAGTTCTACGTAGAACTACGGTATCTGCAAACTGACGTCCATTTGCTGAGCCTGAGAAACGATGACAACCTCGCCGTCTCAGACAGAGACAGAGAGCCGGGTTCAATTGGATGCAGAGCGGCCTAGAAATGACTTCAATGTTCTTTCACATCCAAGGCCACTGTTCCGCGCGGCCAATGGACGTACTTCAATTTCCGTCTCGAGCAATCTATTATCGAGGTGACCGCGTACGTGTCTCTAACGCTTCCTTCCTCGACATCTTCACAGGGCTTGCCAAATTCAGCCCATCCCGACCTCAGTTCCTCTTGAGAATGCAATTTAAGTGACTTGACAAGTTAATGCCCGCAGTCAAGTCACCATGTGAGCGCGTTGACCTCTTCCCAGGCTAGCATCTAGTGACGAAGACCACGCAAGCATCAAACGTCACCTCGCCTCGCCTCGCTTTCTCCAGACCAGTGACGGACAAATGCACAGCCACTGTCAATAGAGAAAGCATATGCTGCTTGTGACTTCTCGCAAACAAGGCAACGTCAACTGAAGCTTCACCTCGAGGCCCATCTTTTGCAGGCTTTCGCTGGTCGGAACCCGGGTCCTTCTCTGCCAAGGGAAGGGTTGCTACGGGTAAGAGACCATGGACAGGACGAAGCCGCTAAGCCGAGAGACGGTGTTGGCGTGTAACTCCACGGTTGGGGGCAAGATGTAGTACCTAGAGAGGATGCCGTAGTGACTGGTGTCAGGAAGAACCGCGAAGCAGCACTTTCATCGTAGATAGAAGCTGGCGCGTTTTCCGAGACACTTACTATAGAACGATAGTATGGTATTGGATTTGGATATAACTATGGTAGGGCGTAATGCGTTCGCGGGCTCAGTAGCTCCCTGCATTTCGTGCTAAATACCGCATAAGCGCCTCTGCCTCTGAGCACCTGCACATGCGGGCGGGCGGGCGTCGAGCCGCTCCTTCCTAAGCTGCGAGCTGGCATGGATGACGGTCGCGACTTCCTAATCGACCGTACATACGCTCTCTGCAGGGAAGGCGCGATGGGTGCTTCGCAGGTGGGCGGTCGCTCCTTCCTCAGTTGCATCCTGCTGCAGGAGAAACGGATGGGGCCGAGGCTCAGCCCCAGTTATACGTAGAGACGTTGCAAGCCTCGGATTAGGATTGGATTCTCAGTCATGGGCGTACCGACAATCCGGCTAGTAGGGACCGCTCTCAGTCCATCGGCGCCAACTCATCACTCAACACCCAACCTCCAGCAGCAGCATCCCATCTATTCCTCGTGAACCGCAAAAAGAGCTGATCGGGACTCCGCCCCCATTTCGCTACCTCCGGCCCATGCGGACCAAGGATGTGCGGCTGGTCACACGGGCGAAAGACAGCGTAGTGCTGTATTCTCGCTTCTTCCGGTACCCGCGTATCTAGGAGATCCATCTCGCTCTCGTCGTTGTCCTCGGAAGGTGGGGTTAGAAGCGCGGATTCATACAAAGGCGATACCTCGCCGCTTAGTAGCTCCTTCGCAAACTTCTCCTCAAGCTGCATGATCCTTCCCGCAAGCGCGATCCCAATCTGCGTCTTGCTGAACCCCTGCATCGGCGGCGCCATGTGCAGCAGCCGCAGCGCCTCCCTTCGGATTTGCGGCTGCCGGCAGGTCAGCGCCGTCCAGAATAGCGGCAGCCCGACACCGAGCTCGAAGGTGAAAATCGGCTGGGCCCCGTCTGGTTTTCGGGAGCATTCGAGGGCGAGGGAGGCTTGGTTGATGATCGTGCGGTAGGATTCCAGATGCCGGTCGTAGATGCAGGCGGTGGGTGAGAGGCACGTCGCAAGGATAGTGGTAATGGTTGCGTGGTACGTTTGGAGGATTGCGGAGATGCTGACGCTGATTGTAATCGTAGACGTTGAGGAGTGAGAAGCAGAGGACGATGCGGATCCCGGCTTTGAGTGCAGGCTGAGGGTCTCCGTGAGCGCCGCGTATGCCGAGCGCCAGGCGTCCAGACGACCCTGTAAACGAACACATCGGGCAAGCACCTCTGGCGATATCACAGGCTCCACGCCGATGAACGGATTTCGCCCCGTGTCTCGCTGGAAGATCTGCACCTCCGCAGCGAGCGGGATAAGCGTGTCTCTCGCATCCTCCAACGACCTGAACAGATAACTTCGCTGCGCATCAAACCCACTGTACAAATCGCAGATCGGAACACCCGAAATACTCAGCGCCGCCGTCCCCAGCCGGATAAACAGCGGAACGATCGTGTCCTCCAAGAACCCAACATCCCTCACACTCGCACCCCGCGCCCGAAGATCCAAAATAAGACGCACCCCCTGCCCATAGAGCCCCAGCGCCTCCTCAACGCGCCCCTGCACCATCTCAATACAAACAAACAAGACACAGCTAACCAGCGCAACATGAACATCCACACTCCTCCGCTCAATCCCACTCTGGATCTTGCTCAGCGAGCGCGAATACCACCCCAGCGCCTCGCTCTGCTTCTCGTTCATCCGCGGCTCATCCCTCGAACGCAGGAATACAAAATCCCCACAGATATCTGGAAACTCAAACAACGCGCTGATCGCATTGACGGCATCCCAGACAGCCGGTTCAAGACGACAGATCCGCGGCACCGTCACCGTCCAGAACGCCTGGTCCAGCCCGCCCGCAAGATACGGCGCCGCGTGGTGGAAGTAGTACGCGAAGGCGCGGCGCTCGCTCCAGACGCCGCCGTTACTCGGTGGGCTTGAGAGTGAGACGTCGAGGTCAAGGTCGAGTACGGACGAGGTGGTGATCGATGGCGCGGACGCGTACGAGGCAGTGAGGTGCAGCGGGTACTCGCAGGTGAATTTGGCGGCGAGACAGCGCTTGCACGAGGGCTTCTGCTCGTCGCATTTGAGTTTGCGTATTTTGCAGACTTTGCAGCCGCGGCGGGTGTGGAGGGGGCCCAGTTTGGAGGATTTGGGGGAGGGTGTTCGGGACATGGTGTGGCGTGGACGTGCTTAGGTTGGTGAATCGCTGGTGAGGGGCTCGCTCATGGTGGACGATCCATCTAGAGAATGGATTTCATTATCAGCACAGACTGGTAGCGACACCCAGCTTGAAGACAAAGAAAAAGGAATCGCGAAAGAAGCCAGCAGCGAAAAGACAGATTGGAGATGGAGAGTTGGAGAAGCTGAGTTGGTGGCTCTAGGCCTCCCCCCACTTGGCAGCAACATTCCTATAAATAGTTTTCAGCTCGGCAAACCTTCAGCATTCTTGAGCTCTTACATGCTTTAATAAAGCTACCATCTTCTGTCCTTGAGGGAGTCATATATATATTCAATTCAAAATAGTATGACAAATACCTAATTATCTCGAAGCACCCGTCCCAATACACCGAACCCAATTCCCAAACGCCCTTTACTCCAACCCAACCCAACATAAGAAACCCGTGGATGTACCCATAGCCATGCAGTAATGCCTCAGCCTCACTCCAACCCCTCTTGCTCAGAGTCCTAATACCCCTCCGTCCCCTCACTCCCCCTCGACCCCCTCTTCCCCTGCCCATGCCCCTGAATCTGACTCTCGACATCCCCCGACGGCGGATGCGGCCTCTTCCACCCGCGCCCCGCCGTCGCATCGCGCGCCATCCAATGCATCTGCTTGAGCCGGAACTCGCGCATGTACTGCCGCTGCTCGACGCTCATCTCCTTCACCACGTTGTCGCCCTGGAAGCCGTTTGTCGCCAGGTAGTGGATTGAGTAGCCGAGGAGGATGAAGACCACGCAGCCGACGATCACGATCAGGATTTGGACTTCTTTGGTGAGGGCCATGGTGTTTTGGATTGTTTTCGTGATGGGATGGGATGATGTGGAGGTGAGGTAGTTGTGGTTGGAGTCTTTGTGGTATGACCTCGAGGACGCTTGTGGATTGTTTGCGTTTGTAGGAGGATAGGTTCGTTTGTTGGTTATTTGGTGGTAGGAGGAGGGAAGGTGTTTGTAGGAGGTCTGGGGGAGTGTCAGTAGGAGAGGTCGTAATGTAAGTGCAGAGAGCAACCAAGAGAGACTGACTGTTGACCTTGACCAAGCGAATGGACGACGTCTACTTCGTACCAGTAGAGTCAAATAGCAAGCGAGCGAGAGTAATAGGTAGAGGATCAGACGATGCAATATCTCCAAGAACAAACAAAAAAACAGCAGCAGCACCCTCTTATACCTAGCCTACACCACGCCTTAAAATCCTTCGACCTCCCCAAAATCCATCCTATCCTCTCCACCCGAGCTAAACTGAAACGTCGACCTCCAGCTACGCTCCCATCGACCCCAAGCGTTTTTCGATCCTGCCAACACCGGCGCGAGATATACATGCTCGAACCGGCATAGCGCGCTCGCACTTGACGTCATTTGCGAGCGGGCCAATCAGGGCGTGGTCCGAGGTCCACATGTCCGGACGCTAATCTCGCGTCCGGCGAATTAGAGGCTGAGGCTGAGCGGCGAGCTTGGACTCGTCGAGGGCACGTGCCACGGACGCATAACTGGAGGTGTCTGTCGTTCGCCCGTGTGTCTGTCTAATTCTGTTTACGCTATGGTCTGGATATTTGATGAAACCAGCTTTGGGCCGGAATCGTGCCGATGGTGTGATTTAGATTTGTGGATTGTTGCCCCTGAATGCAGGATGCCGAGTCAGACTAAGTGCTGACAAGGATGTCGGGGTTCACGTGATGTGCGCTCACTTATCCGACCAGTAGCCAGTTCGTCAACTAGCCAGTCGACTTGAATGTCAAGGGCGGGTCTACGCAAATAAAATAAGCATATTTGTATTAGCGCTGCTTGAAATGTGAGGAGGCGTAGTAATATCCTGGCCAGGAAGACAGTCATAAATCGTGCTCTATTCAGCTCATCTATCTATCCGCTGAGCCGCATGTATATACATCTACTCAAAGTATCCAGGGAACAGCCAGTTCATCTTCTCCCTCGCCTCGACGCTCCAGCTCGCCTGTGCCGTGCTGAGACCGAACTTGACAGCCCCCGCATACTGCTTGGCCTGGACGAGCTCGGCGTTCTCCTCAGACGCAAGCTCGTTCAGAACAGCCGTGACAAAGTGCTTCGCATTGACGGCGTTGGCCTTCATGTGGCCCATGACCATCTCGACGGAGACGTCTTCAGTCGACTCGTGCCAGCAGTCGTAGTCGGTCGACATGCAGATCATCTGGTAGGCGATCTCGGCCTCGCGCGCGAGCTTAGCCTCGGGGAGACAGGACATGTTGATGACGGAGCCGCCCCAGGAGCGGTACAGCTTGCTCTCGGCGCGGGTGGAGAACTGGGGGCCCTCTACGTTTCATTAGTAGAGCTTAATCTAAAGTTAAACGAACATACCCATGCAAATAAGCGTGCCACGGTCATGCAGCTTCACCCCCTCACCCTCCAGACTATGCCCGCAAGCCCGGACGATCTTGGCAACGCGCTCATCGAACGGATCGCCGAACGGGACGTGGCCGACAACGCCGCCCTCGAAGAACGTGAACGGGCGGATCCCCTTTGTGCGGTCGATGACCTGGTCGGGGACGACAAAGTCGCGGGGCTTGATCTCCTCCTGCAGACTGCCGACGGCGGAGAAGGCGATGATTGTGCGGACGCCGATGGAGCGGAGGGCGGCGATGTTGGCGCGCGCGGGGACCTCGTGCGGCGCGATCTGGTGGTGCTGGCCGTGGCGGCTGAGGAAGGCGACGGCGACGGTGCGGTCCTTGTGCGTGTGGTGCAGGATCGTGATGGGGGAGGAGGGAGTGCCCCAGGGTGTCTGGATGTTGAGCGAGGCGACTTGGGTGAAGCCGGGGAGTTCGCGCAGGCCGGTGCCGCCGATGACGGCGATGGGGACGGGGTCTGTCAGAGTTAGTCAGGCTTTGTTGTTTGGAATGGGTGGGCTGACCGGCGTAGGTGCTGGGGAGGACGGCCATTCTGCGAGCGAGTTGTCTAGGGGACTCTATTCTTCGGAGGGGTCTGGAGAGGGAGGAGAGAGAGCGAAGAGCCATCGGGGTCGGACTGAGAAAAAGTCGGCGGGGTTGCCCCTCAGCCAACCTCCGCTCCTCCGCCACGCCGTTCCTCAGGCACCTCTCTCAGTCCATCAATTGCATTGTATCTTTTCGCCTTTCTCATCCATTCAATCCAAACTCTATAGAAAAACAGACAACATATTGCCAGCGAACTCTATCCCTGCTGCTTGGCTCCTTGCCTGCCTCTAGTGAACGTGTCAAGACTTGTTCCTTCAGCCTTAGTAGGCAGTGACTTGCACCTCACCTATTGTTGGCGCGTACAGAATCGGACGTGATTTGAGCAGTAACTTGGTAATATTTCTGAAATGGAAAAGATCGGTTCACTGTCTTCGCTGCAGAGCGGGCTGGTGATCACTGAATCATTGGATTAAGCTGAGATTTCTCCAGGATGAAGCTACATTGTCACCAGGATTTTCACAGACGAGTGGAAAGGACGAAAGAAGAAGAATTCAATTCCATTCATTCATTACGCTAAGACAAAGATCTTAGGCCTGGCCTATTTCGCCGGCCTCCACTCATAATGATGCGCCCCCTTACTCACAGGCCCGGGATCCTCCCCAGGCACCCCAGGAAGATTATACCCATGCGCCCCGAAGAAATCCATCTGCGCCTCCATGAACTTCGTCGGCAGATTCGTCCCCCCCTCATACTTGACATACTCCAGGCTCGCCGAAATAGCCGGAATATAATGGTCCGCGTCCACAGCAGCCAGGACAATCTCCTTCAGCGAGGGGAAAGTCCGGTGCAGCTCCTGCGCAACTTCATCAATAAACTTCATGTTCTTGATCTTCTTGTTCCCCGACACAGCGGGCTGCAGGATGTCCGCGATCCCCTCGGACCGGATGATGCACCCGGCGCGCCAGATCTGCAGACACTTGCCGAGGTCGATGTCCCAGCCTTCGTCGTCGGAGGCGCGGGCGATGAGCTCGAGACCCTGGCAGAAAGATGCCAGGAAGGAGGCGTACACGGCGGCATGGAGGTGCTGCTTTAAGGCTTCGATGTCCTTCATGCCGCGGATGCGAGACGGGGAGGGGAGGCGCAGCTGCTTGGCGACTTCGAGGCGCTCGATGCGGTTGCCGCTGGCGATGCGCATGAAGTGCGCTGTTGCGAGGGTGGGCGCGGAGATGTGCCGGCTTGCCGACTCCATGACGGACCAGTACGGCGTGCCCTCGGTGTTGTCGTTGTCCTGGACGACCTTGTCGAGGACGTCGTCGAGCACGTATCCGCCATCGCCGACGCCCTCGCCCTTCCCGTCTCCCTGCGGCGTCTTCTTCACGCGCAGCAGCTCAGCCCCGATCTCTAGCAGGAAGTTATTCCGCAGCTCGCCCTCCTTATTCCACGCTTCAAAGATGTCGGCGATTTCGTCGTAGTTCAAGCCGCGCCCGTAATGCAGCAACGACCACGCCTCGGCAAGCGTGCTCAGCATCCCCCCCTCAATCCCATTATGCACCATCTTGACAAAGTGCCCGGCCCCCTTGGGCCCAATCCGCGTCACACAGGGCTGTCCACTCTTCGCATCTTTGCCGGCATACAGCTCAAGCAGCGGCATCACCAACTCAAGCGCCTCCTTATCACCACCCGGCGAAAGACTCGGCCCCCGTCGTGCAGACTGATAACCCCCACTAACACCAAGCCCAATCCACGAAACCCCGATCTTACTACACTCCACCTGCCTCGCCTCGGTGCGTCGATAATTCTCATTCCCCCCATCCAGAATGATATCCCCCTTCTTAAGGTCCTTCTTGATCATCCCCAGCACGCTATCAGCGGGATCGCCGTGCGTGATACTAAACAGGAAGATCTTCCTCTCGCCCTTGCCCTCAAGGGACTGCGTGAACTTCGAGACATCTTCGAACCCTTCGATTTTTCCCTTGTAGTTTGTGTCTTTTGCGGCGGAGAGCAGTTGCTTCACGTTGGAGTATTTCGCGTCCCAGATCGACACGTCCAGCCCGAGTTCCGAGAATGCAAACGCCATCATCGACCCCATGTTGCCGGAGCCGACGATCCCGATGCGTTTGAATTTGGAGATGGTTTCGTCTTGGGAGGGCATGGTGCTGGATTGTTCGTAGGTCGTAGATAGTAGGCAGGATTAGGTTGGAAAGTTCAGATAGCTTGCAGTCGAGAATATGGGTAGGTTAGGAACCAGCTCCTGAAATAGCACTTCAGCCAGTTTCGTCTCCTTACATCATTCCACGTTCGACTCGATATCCGTACACTCCACAGGCGAGTTCAAGCTTCGCCCAGGCTGTCATTGGGCTTGGTGGTGGTCCGCTCAACCTCATCGTTACATCATCCCGCGGGTTCCGATATACATACATCACTCACTCACGCTCAACACGTTCAATAAGATAGAAGAGAACACTCAAAATCAAAACCAAACAAACTCCAGCCCAACAAAGCACGATAAACAAAAATGCCCTCCAAAATCCCCCTCTCCTACGCAACCGTCTCGCTCGGCTCCCCCAACACCAGCTCATCAATCCCCCTTCCCCAAAAGCTCTCAGCCCTGCACCAAGCAGGCTTCAGCGGCATCGAACTCGGGTTCCCAGATCTCCTAGCATACGCCTCATCCCTCACAAACCGAACCGTCGCACCCGACGACTACGACAGTCTACGCATCGCAGCCGCCGAAGTAAAGAAGCTGTGCATCGCGCACGGGCTCGAAATCCTGATGCTCCAGCCCTTCTCCAATTTTGAGGGGTGGCCGCGCGGCTCAAAAGAGCGGGAAGACGCGTTTGCCAGGGCGCACGGGTGGATTAGTATCATGGAGGCCGCGGGGACGGGGATGTTGCAGGTTGGGAGTAGTGATACGCCGGTGGAGAAGATGGCGTCTGCGTCTTCTTCTGCGTCACATAACGCGGACAGCGTGGCCGGGCCTCGCGCCGATATAGTGGCCGACCTGCGCGAACTCGCGGATTTGCTTGGGGCGAAGGGGTTCCGTCTCGCGTACGAGAACTGGTGCTGGAGTTCGCATGCGAAGGGGTGGAAGGACGTATGGGAGATTGTGAAGGCTGTTGATAGAGACAACATCGGGCTTTGTCTTGATACGTTCCAGAGTGCTGGTGGGGAGTGGGGGGATCCGACGACTGGGTCGGGACGGATTGAATCTGGGGGTCTTGACGAGGCGGAACTGAGCGCGAGATTCGAAGCAAGTATGGCGGAACTGAGCGCGACGGTGCCAGCGGACAAGATCTTCCTCCTCCAGGTCTCGGATGCGTATGTTCCGCTTGATTCATCTGGAAAACCGAAGCCGTTGGATGCGAAGGTGGTGGATGGGACGGCGCCGAGGGGACGCTGGAGCCATGATTTCAGGCCGATGCCGTATGATGGGGGGTATTTGCCTGTTGAGGCTGTTGGGAGGGCGGTGCTGAGGACTGGGTTTCGGGGGTGGTTTAGTGTGGAGATTTTTGATGGGGGTGCGGATGGGAGGGGGCGGAGGTATGAGCTTAAGGAGTTTGCGGGGAGGGCGAGGAGGAGCACGGAGAGGTTTATTGAGGCGTGTTTGCCTGCTTAACCTTGACATACACTGAGTTAGGTTCAGGTGGATAGGATGAATGGTATGTATGGTATGCTACCGAGAGTATGAGTATAATGTAGTCATGACTTTTCGTCAACATCAATAGAAAGCAAGAACGCCGTAGATGCGAAGATAATAAAAACGTAATGGGGAATAGTACAACTTAAATCCGACCTAGCTCACGCGCCGTTGCTGGGGTAGGCAACCTTGTACGTGGGCACAAACTCCTCCTTGATCGAGCGCAAGCTCACGAAGCGGGACAGCAAGTTGCCGCTGCCGGCCTTGTCATTGGTACCAGACGCACGGGCACCGCCGAAGGGCTGCTGGCCGACAACCGCACCGGTGCTCTTGCAGTTGATGTAGAAGTTACCGGCGGCGTTGCGGAGAACGTCATCGGCGATAGTCAGGGCCTCGCGGTCCTGAGCAAAGACGGAGCCGGTCAGACCGTACTCGCCGGTGGCGTCAATCTTCTCGGCGATGCGGACAAAGTCGTTCTCGGTGGCATCGGGGTAGGCGTACACAACAAGGATAGGGCCGAAGAGCTCGCGGGTGAGGAGGGGGTGGTCGGGGTTGGTGGTGCGGTAGACGGTAGGCTGGATGTACCAGCCCTTGGAGGAGTCGTAGGAACCACCGGCGAGGAGCTCAAGCTCCGGGTCGTTCTTGGCTTCGTCAATGACCTTGGCCAGCTTGTTGAACGAGGCTTCGTGGATGACAGGGCCGCAGAAGTTGGTGAAGTCCGAGGGGGGTCCGACCTTAAGGTTCTTGGTCTCGGTGGCGACCTGCTCAAGGAAGGAGTCGGAGATGGAGGCCGCGACGTAGGCGCGCGACGTGGCGCTGCACTTCTGGCCTTGGAATTCAAAGGCGCCACGGACGGTTTGGACGGCGGCGTTGCGCACGTCGGCGGACTTGTGGATGAGGTGGAAGTTCTTGCCGCCGGTTTCACCGACAATACGGGGGTAGCTGCGGTACTTGCCGGCCGCGACGCCGGTGGAGATCTGGCCGTAGAGGTTGCGGAAGACGCTGGTGCTGCCGGTGAAGTGCAGGGCGGCGAACTCGGGGTGGTCGAGGACGGTCTTGGTCACTTCCTCGGCTTCACCGGGGACGAACTGGATGACGTTCTTCGGCAGGCCTGCCTCGAGCAGAATCTGGTGAACAAGCCAGTTGGAGGCAATGGCAGAGGGAGAAGGCTTCCAGACCACGACGTTGCCCATCAGTGCAGGGGCACCAGCAAGGTTACCTCCAATGGCAGTGAAGTTGAACGGACTGATGGCGTACACGAAACCCTCCAGCGGACGGTACTCGACGCGGTTCCAGACACCCGGGGCGTGGTGCACAGGTTGCTGAGCATACAAGTCCTCAGCATACTTGACACCGAATCGGAAGAAATCGCAGAGCTCAGCCGCGGAGTCGATCTCCGCCTGCCAGGCATTCTTGCCCTGGCCGTGCATGGTCAGAGCCATCACATCGTATCGGTACTTTGTCGCGATCAGGTCCGCCGCCTTGAGGAAGACACTGGCACGGTCGGCGAACGGGGTGGAGGCCCATGACTTGCGAGCTTCAAGCGCGGACTCGATCGCCGCTTGGACATCTCTGGCGGTTGCGTTGGAGTAGGTGGCCACTGGGCCGTGCGAGGCAGGGTTCGATTGTGTGAGGGTTGAAGAGGATTTCACCTGTCATTGTCAGCTAAGCTCTGCCGGAAAATGTGATGTGCCTACCTCCTTGCCAGCGATAACCAGGGGAACGCTCAGAGGAGCCTCTTGTTGTGTGCGGGCCAGGGCATCCTGGAGAGCTTTGCGGTCGGGCGAGCCTGAGGCGTAGTGTTTCTACGGAATTAGCAAACGCTTGCAGCTGCGACAAGAAACTCACGTTGGGCTCGTTGTCAATGCGAGGAACCTTGAAAGTGGCATACGAGGCCGTCTTGGTTCGGGAGAAGACCGATGCGGTCCTGACGGGGAGGGCCCTCGCCCGGAGCAGTAGTGATGATTGCATGATGCTGTGATGCACTTCTCTATTCAAGCTAAAGCGATTGACAGAAGAGCAGAAGAGCACAAGAGGCGAGGAGAGAAGGGGAGGAGAAGCAAACACAGCATGCAGTGTGCGGGGAAGCTCTCGTGATTTAAGACCGGTTATCACCGGGAATGCTGCCTCTCTCCAACTGCGGCTTCGGCGCCGACAGAATACGGTTGGCCGAACATTCCATGGACCAGAAATTCAAAAGCATGGCCATGGCCATGGCCATGCATGCTCCAGGCCCCGCAAGGAGATCTTCGCCGGTCGCTGGATGCCGGGCCCGGGGCTCTGCCGGTGGGCACTGAGTCCACTGACCGGGCCGGATCACAGGCACTGGCACGCCCCGCCATAACAGTGGGATGTAGATACGGTTTGTCATAGTATGGGGAACTGATAATCTGGAGTACAACGATAGCTGCGATATGATATCTGATAGCATCTGGAGGTTTGATCATGGTATGTAGTCTCATCCCCACAGCCCGGACGTAGGGTAGTCTTGATTAAGTCCCAGAGCCTTCATCTACGATGCCGGTTCGGCTGCAATAGACCGGCTATGTATTTCAAGCGGTGCGTTATTAGAAGTACATAAAGGGCAGTATCTTAAAAAGCTATTGATATTTGTTCATTCAAGATTTATCGTGGGATTCATATATAGATGTCGTATATAGTCGGTCTATTCTATCTAGAAAATCCACCACCACACCCGCTCCAGCCAGTTCCGGGGCTGGCGGTCCAGGTCATTCTCACACAGTCGGTCGATCTCATCCTTGCCCGAGAAGAGGTCGACTTCCGACACCTTGGTCATCCACGGGGTCCGATACCAGATCTTGTGCCCGGCGTAGAGTGCAAGGAAGATTGCAAAGACAATGTAGGAGACTAAGAAGTCCGACGCGGTAAATCGGCCGGGGAAGAACACCGCGTAGCCGTTCGTCAATGTCAAAATCGAGATCACAAACATCACGTAGTATGTGCCATAGGGCTGCAGGGGGGTCTTGAAGGGTAGCATGTCCAGCATGCCGTGGAACTTGAGAGCTTTGCGGAAGCGCTGGTTCGGTTAGCATTGCACAATAGAGAATAGAGAAGAGAGGAGCATACCAGATACGCTATTCCGATAAGGATCCAGTTGATGAAGCCACCAACTGTGGTGATGTTGGTGAACCAGTAGAACACCGTCTGCCCAGAGCTCGACAGGTTGAGGAAAGCCAGCAGTCCGATCAGCCACGTCGCGATGACGGCCACATATGGAACGCCGTTTCTGTTGGTGCGCATGAAGATCTTCGGGGCCTGGCCTTCTCCAGCGAGCGAGTACAGGGTTCTCGATCCGGCATAACACCACGCGTTGCCAGACGACCAAGCAGAGATCAGAATGGCAGCATTGACGACGTGGTTCAATCCCCCGATGCCAGCGTTTTGAATGGCAACGACGAACGGACTCGAGCCAGCTCCTGAGCCGCCGCTGGCAACTCCAGCTTCCATGGTAGGGTCGTTGTAGGCCACAGTAACGCCAATAACCAGACTGCCCAGGATGTAGAAGGTGAAGACACGGTAGATGAATCGCTTGGTGGCTTTGGGAATGTTCCGACGGGGCGCCTCTACCTCTCCCGCGGCAGTCGTGATCAACTCGGGCGAAAAGATGAAAGAGAACCCGGACTTGATCAGAGCAGTCCAGAAGCCCAAGAACTTTCCAGTGTTTCCGTCGACCAGGTAGGGATTGAATGCACCCGGGTCCTGCCAGTAGCGGAACCCTAGGCGGTCATGGCTCGGGCCTCCTCCAAAGAACAGAACGACGCCTAGGATGATCAAGCCGATGATGGCCAGGATCTTGAGACCTGCAAACCAGAACTCAGACTCTCCGTACCACTCGACGGCGATGACGTTGAGCAGTAGAATAACTAGGATTGTTAGCAGACTAAATTGATTGGGACAATATACACATACCAACGAGAACAATGGCAATCCACAACCCTACACTGACGGGAGGATTCCAGTACTCGATGATCATTCCGGAAGCAGTTACCTTACTAGTCAGTAACTCTCAATACTTAAGAGGGGCATACTCACTTCCGAGGCCAAAAGCATAGCAAAAGAATACCAGTAGTTGTAGCCCGCAGCAAACCCAATGCTTGGTTCAGTGAAGCGCCCGATCAGGTACGGCACCGAGACACCGCGAATGGGCAGGTAGGTCGTCATCTCGCCCAGGACGTTCATGACAAACCAGACGATGGAAGCCATGACAATATAACTCATCAACAGAGGGGCAGGGCCGGTCTGCGTCAACACCGTCGATGTACCGACGAAGAGACCGGTTCCAATGCAACCTCCGATGGCGAGCAGTTGCAGCTGTCGCGAGGACAGACCGCGTTTCGTCGCTGTGTGTTCCTCCACCTCTCCTTCCATCGTCTTGGGCTCATAGTCGTACTGGACGGACGGGCTGCGACCCTCCTCCATGCTCTTGACCGAGGGCGAACTCATCTTGATACCTAGGTTGCAAACACGTAGGCAAAAGAGAGACCAGGCAGGGTGTTATAAAAATGATCTGGCGCGGGAAGACCCCAGATTGCTGAGTCAAGGGCTTATCATTTCCAGCACGAGATAAATTTTACTCATGGAAAGGTTTGTGGGAGATAAACCCTATTGGCTCCGGGCTGGTGCCAGGGGAAGCTGTGGGGTGCCCAGCCTGCCCAATTCGGTGAGTAGATTGAGAGCCTGGTCCAGTATATGCCTGATAGGAGTAACTTTGGCGGGAAGCGTGAGATAATGCTGACGCTGGCTGTGCAGGAAGGGTTGTAGTCCCGAGAGATACGGGTTTCAGCGTTGATCCTGCGTCATTAAACCATGCTGCCTCCGATGTGATAGAGAGGACATGGTGGCAACGGTACCCCGGGCTCGCTTGCAATCAGGTTCTCCAGACTCCAGGATTCGGAGATTGACTCTGGGGAACTTCTCCGCACAGAAACCCGCAGTCAATTTGCATCTGGGCTCTGGAGACCGGATCAGATGCTTTGACTTTGCACATGTTCCATGAAGCTGTTTCAGTGACTAATGGGATCCTCCGTGAGCCACTGCTGAAGCTGGTGTTTGTGCATGGCTTGGCGTGGAATTCCCTGCCGCTAGCCCAAAGCTTGGTCCACCGGCTGAAGACCGCTAACTGCTCTGATTGGATGTTGGCGGCCACCAGTCTCAACCACGTGAGACTAGTCCTTCCTCAGACTAGCGCGTCTGCCTCAAAGCTCAGGCTGAATGACGTGCGATCGGGCTATCTCCGTCGGATGAAGTGTCGGACGCCCGGAGGGCCGGCGCCCGGGACGCGCCTATCCCGATTAGGACTAGCGCAGCATGTGACAGTTAAGGTTTTCTTATAACTTACCGCTTGCTATATATAAATAATTTAGAGGTTTACTATAAGTAATATTATTAGCTAGTTATTAGGTTATAAGCCCTTAAACTTTTTTAACTACTTTAAAATACTATTTAAAACTTTTTTAAGCGCCTTTATAAGCTTTAAAGCTTGTAATAAGCACTATTATATACTTTTTTTACCTTTTTAAAGCATAATTTTTAATACCTACTATTTATAAATTAATAAAACTGCAACTTTTTAATTAATTAAAACTTAATATTTAATATAGCTAAGCCTTAATAAGTTATTTTTAATATAAGGACCCCTAATCCCGCTGCAGGGACGCCTTAGTAAGTAACTTAGTTAATAAACCCTTTTAATTTTTTACTTAAACAGGCATATTATAAGCACTGCCTGCTTTTAATAATAGTTTTTATTATTATATACCTGCTTGGGATTAAGCTTACAGGCTAAATTAATTATAATAAGTAATTTAATTAGGTAAAAAAATATTTACAAGCCCTATATTTTTTTTAATTAATTAATTTTTTGCTTCCCTAGCCTTTTAAAAACAGGCTATACTAAAAATACTAAAAAAATTACTTTATACTTATTATTAATTAGCTTATAGGCTAAATTAGCCATAAAATTTATGTTAAAATTATTAAATTCCCGTGTTTAATAAAGTATGCTAATAAGATATTTAATATAATTTACTAAATTATTATTAAACAAGGTGTACCTTAAATTACTAAGGTAGTACTTAGCATTATTAATATATACAGTGTGGAGGGGCAGTACTAGAGCATGGGAGCTAAAGGAGCCAAACAGTGGCGGAAACCTAGGACTAAACAGTATATAGTATAAGTAAAAATAATAATAAGAAAAAAAATATATATATTAAAGTAAATAATAAACTAAGTATAAAAGGCTGGTAGTAAGGCTATAAGTACTATAGGAATTAATATTAGGGTGTAACCCTACTATATTTTTTTAGGGGGGGGCTAAAACTTACTAGTAGGTAAAACTTTTTTTTACTTATATTTTTTATTTTTTTTTAAGGTAGTATTTTAAAGTATAATAGCTAGCTATGCTTTGCTTGGCTAGCCTTTACTAGGCCTTTTTTTTTATCTTTTTTATTTTTTTTTTTTTATTAGTATTGTGTACAGGTAATAATTAAGTAGTTTAATAAATATATTTTAAAGCTTATTAGTTTTACTAGGGCAAGAAGTATTAATAATAATTAATAAGTAGCTTAGCTTTATTTAGTACTTTTTTAATAATTATGGCCACGTGGGTGGGAATAAGGGTAAAAAGTAATATTATTTTATAATAATTATAGCTAAAGTTACTAAAATACTTTTATTTTAACTTTTAAAACCATATATATATATTTATAGTAATAAAAATAGCCTTTTTTTTTTAGGACTTAAAAAAGTTACACCTAATAAATATATTTAGGCTAAATACTAGTTTTATTTTATTAACTACCTTAGCTAAATCTTATTTATAGTATTTTACTAAGGTATTATTAATAGCTTTTAGCCCCTGGAGTTAAATGGTTAGGGCAAATAACTATAAAATTTTTAAGTAATAATTTAAAAAACTAAATAAAAAGGTAGGGCTGGGCATAAAATTATAATATATAATAGCTAATTCTTCCCAGGTGCCTTTTTCTACTATTTTAAGTATTTAATAGTTAGCTAACATAGTAATATACTAGGGTAATACTATGCGCCTTATTTTTATAGCTAGTTTAGTAAATTCATGCGGTATTAATAAGTATATAATTTATATAATAAGTTATAAGCAAGGGTTCTTTTTCTAGTTTATATAAAAGTATTTAGTATTATTTTTAGTTTATTTTTTATTTTTCACGCGATTAACTAAATTAAAAAGGTTATTAATATTATTTTATATTTTTACCCATGCTAGTTATACCTTTACTTTATTTTTTTAATACATGCCCGGTAAAACCTTAATATAATTATTATTATTTTTTATATTTAGTAATAATAATTCTTAAATAATATTTACTTCTTGTTTATCTTAAAGTGCTTGGTTAATATTAATATTTATATATTAAAAGTAGGTGTGGTCTTCTTGCTAGGCGTACTTTATATAATATAAATATAAAATTAGTTAGTACTTATAATTAAGCCTTAATATAATATACCAGGCCTAATAAAATAGGTCCTAGCGTATAAGCTACTAAATAATAATATAATAAATATTTTATAGCTAGCTATAGTTTAGCGCCCCTTAATACTTACATAAGTAGTAAAAATAAATATTTATCTTTTTTTAGGCAAGGTCTAAAAATTAAATATTTAGTTTATATTTTTTAAGCACTAGATTTTTAAGTTTTTTAGCTAAATAATTAAAAAAACTATTAATATTAATAAAACCTTAGTTATTAAATAAACCTTTATAATTTTTTTTTTATAATCCGCTGGGGAGAGTACCGCGGGTAATTTTTATAATATTAAAATATAAAAGTAATTTAAAAAGCTAAAAATACTTATAATAATATTAATAAATACCTAGCGCGTTTTCCAGGCGCGAAAATTAAACTTTTTATTAAAATTATATAAAGTAAGTCTTGCTTGCTATAATATTACCTAGGTTTAAATAATTTTTTAAAATAAATTTAATATAAGGGCGCAGCACTTTATTAAGTAAGTTAATTTTTATATTAATTTTTCCCCCTAGTTATTTTATATAAAGGTGGTATATATACTAGCACTTTTTTTTTAATACTAGTATAATTTTTTTATAAATTTATTATAAAGTATATGCTTATAGGGCGGTACTCCACTTTTTACTAGTTTTAATTATAAAATTAATAGTAATTAGTACTTGTATATAATAATAAGTATTTTTACTTTTAGTAGGCGGGGCTAATACTTTTATAAACTTAAGTAAGTATAGGTTTTTAGTAACTTTTTATACTAGGTTAGTTGCGCTATTTTATAATACCTTTTATATAATTATTTTTATTACTTAGTGGCTAGTAGCACGTGGTAATAGTTTTTTTAATTAGCTAGTTATTTTATATCTAGGTAAATATAAAATACTAGTAATAAATATTTAGTTTATACCTATTAATATATACAAGACTATAGTACTATAGGCTAACCCTTAACTAGTTATACTTATTTATTTTTAGTGGCGGGCTTTTAAGGCTAGTAAGTTAAAAAATATAATATTATTAGTATACTAAAAGTGGGTTAAAACATAACTCTTAAATTTACTAAGTATTTCCTAAAAAATAATATTATAGGTAGCGGCATGTTTTATAGGTCTAGTTTTAGCTAGTTATAAAAGGCTTAAGGCATGTAATTTAGCCTAGCTTTAAGTAATTAAGTTATAACTAAATAATAAAGCAAGGCTAAATTAAAATAATAATTAGGTTAATAACTAATTTAGGGCGCGGGAAGTTTTAATTAGGTTTAATATATAAATAAGCGCACGGGGAGTTACTAGCTAATTTTTTTTAATTTTATTATTTATAAAGTCCCAGGCATAAATAAGTTTATTATTTCCTATAATTAATCTTAACTTTTTTAAGCAGTGGCTATTATAACTAGGCTAAAAGGGCATGCTTAGGGCGTGGTTAATATTTCTAGGTATAATAACTAATATTATATATTTTTTTTATTTTTTATTACCCACACAATCCACCACGGTGTTATTAATATTATTTTAAATAGCTTGCTATTTAATATTTAAACTTAAGCTATTAAATATTTTTTAAACCCTTTTAACTAATAATTATAATTACACGTGCTTAAAAATATTTATAATAATATTTATTTAATCCTTGTTATTATAATACTTAAAAATAAAAATATCCTAAATTTTTTTTACCTTAACGCGCCGCTTTTTCGCGTTTTTAATAGCTTTTTTAGCTATATTTTAAAACTTATTTTTATTAGCGGTTATAAAGTTAGTTACTTTTTATACTTTAGCCTTTAAAACATGTTTTTAAAGCTTTATAATAATATTTTTTAAATTATTTTTTATAATAAATAGCGCTATAAATAGCTTTTTTTATTATTTATACTACATATTAAATAACATGTTTTTAATAACTTAAATAGCTTTTTTTACACTAGCATAGGTTACTAGT